CCACCACGACCACGACCACCACGACCGCCACCGCCACGACCCCGACGACTACGACCCAACGAGCACCAGGACCACCACATCAACTATCGCGACCAGAAGGACGAGACCACCGGAACATCGGGACATTCAGGACCGCCAGGAGCACCAGGAGCACGGGACCGCCGGGGCCACCGCCGCCGCCACTATCACCACCAGGGATCCATGAAGCTGGAGACGCGACGGAAGGAACCAACCTCAAAGTCGTTCCCCTCATGTGCTGGCAGAATTAGTAGTCTGTGGTCCTGCTAGCACTTTCCGCGGCTTGTCTGGTGCGATTACTTGTAGAGGACCACGGCGATGAGCCCGCCCAAGGCTGGTCACTTGGAAGTTCCGGCGCTCTGGCCCGCCGAGTTCCTCCCCATGTGCGCGCCGCGCGGGACTGCAGAGCACGGAGTTTGGACCCGGACGCACGAGCCACGACCCCACCACTGTGGTGGAGCACGATTTCGGGGGCAGAAACGCAAGGCGAGGAGCATCACTGTATGGCCCCGTTAAGAGTGGTCTGGCAGGGCGTTTGACATTTCGAGCGCTTCGAAGGCCAAATTGAGGCCAATGTATTGGAATTGAAAACGCTGGTCAGAGTTTCCATTTATGCATAGCACCACAGCGGGAGCCGCAAACGGCGCCTCTGCGGGTGCCCCTCGGATTCGCACTGACCGACGCAAGAACCCCCTACATGCGTCTGCCGGTTAGGTGGAATGAAAGTCAAGCCGCGGAGCTAGAGCGGCCACCTTACCAGTCCAAAGTGCACGGAGTAAACAGATTCCTCAGTTTGTCCGTCACCCCCGCTTCAACCCGTAAAGGAGCGGGTGCTGTAGCTGGCAAGCTAATAGTTCGTTCTACTCTCCTTGACTTCCGGAGTTCCAGCTTTACCTGAGGAAAGGTAACTATATAGGCGCCGCTGCTCCGGGCGGCGTTTACTGGCCGGGAACACGCTTGAACGTCACGGTCTGGAGCACTTTGGACCGAACTTCATCCCGCTTGCTTGTATTCGGGGCAGGGTTTTGTGAGTTCTGTAGATATCGTGGGAGCATCCTGCAACATGGAATGGGACGGCCTGTACAAAGAGAGTGGGTCTGCCCCGTCGAGCGTACCTCGCATGCATCGCAACGCAGATAGGTTCAGCACTCTCCAGCGGGGGACTTGGCAGGCTGTTCCGGTTGGATTTATGGTTTTGCATCACAGACCCCGAGAGCATCCACCGACATTCGCTGCTTGAGGTTGGGTGTACTTGTTGTGCTTCGCATAGATTCCCCTCTCTGCCGGGCCCGTTCACGCGATCTTGAGGTCTGCTAGCTGGTTTCATGCACATTGGCTCAGCCCCCTTCGATCGCAATGGCGCATGAAGTGAATTGGCACTAGAATGATGGATCAGCTTACACACCGGCAGTCCAATGCAGGTTTGCAGTGTGCATCAGGCCTTCTCGCAGCATTGGACTGGAGTCCAATGGAGCTGGGGGAAAGCATAATTGTTGAGCTTGTCCACCCAAATTTCTGTCAAGCAGGACGCGGGTCAGTCCCTGCCCTGCGGGGCGTTGACACTCCTCGTCGCTATGCAAAGGATCAGTGACCCAAGTTCGCCAGGCACGGCATATTGCAAACGCCCAGCCCCACCGAAGATGATCTAGCATCGCTGTGGGAAGCAGCAAACCGCACCTAAATCAGGGCAAGTGAAGCGAAGATGCCAACAGATGTGACTGTCACGTGTTCTCGGTGCGGACTTCGTCTGAGTGATCGGCTCAGGAATCGCGACTCAGTCTGGAACGTCAAGAAGCCTTTACAGACTGCTCTGGCTTGTCGAAAAACCGCTAAACTACAGACTCTGTTAGGCTGCCACCTTGGCTGCCGAAGAAGTGTTGGAAGCTGCTGGCTACGCTTCTCGAGGGGCTTGCGCAGAGCCGGCTGGGTGATCGCCAGGAAGCACTGCGTTCATGCAGGGATGCTACGGAGATGTGCTGTCAGAAATCCGGGAGCTAAAGAACATCTGGACTACTGGTACGTGCTTGTTGTGAGGCCGTCCGCCTGCATCCCTAGGCATTTTGAAATCTCTTCCTGTCTCTAGACACAAACGAAACGATGTGGCCGTGGTCGAATGTGGTCGATATGGGATAATGCATGAAAGCATCCACCCTCGGATTCTGACACTTGCAAGCATGAAAAGAGACCCTGCAGCACTATGAATCGATCCTTGCTCTAGGAGCCCAGCCTGCATTCGATGACAGCACAATGTTTCCATGTGGGTGGTTGTCAAAATTAGGGTCCTTTTTTGGGTCCTTATTATAATACGGCACCTATTATTTAGGGTACCCCAAAAGGGACCATAATTTTGACAACTACCCATGTTCAGAGTTTGCGTTTTTCCTGAGCTGTGCTCAGTCCTGCGCACAACCTCA